ACTCCCCCACCTTCAAGCCGCTCCAGATGACAACATGGACATCATGTCCTTTGATATGGACAATTGATTTTTTTCTTAGCTTTAAGTAAAATGTGAATAACAACATCTTCAGAAAATGATGCATTTTGAAGTTAATTTGTAATGGGCAACCTATATGAAAATAAAGAGTGGGGCGCCTTGGTGGCTCAGTGGGGTGGGCCTCAGGCCATGATCTCAGGGTCCTGGGATCGAGCCCCGCATAGGTCTCTCTGCTCAGCAGGGAGCCTGCTCCCCCCCCCGCCCGCCTGCCTTTCTGCCTACTTGTGATCTCTCTCTCTCTCTGTCAAATAAATAAATAAATAAATAATCTTAAAAAAAAAAAAGAAAGAAAGAAAGAAAAAGAAAATAAGGAGCTTTCCATGCTGAGGCCAGCTCTTGACAAGTCCCTGAACCACCATTTCTCTTCCGATCGAGTTGCAGCCCTTAAGCCCTTAAGATCCAGGAGTTCAGTGTCTAGATCTTTAGATTAAAAAAAAAAAAAAAAAAAAAGATAGCCTGCGGATGCCTGGCTGGCTCAGTCGGTGGAGCATGGGACTCTTGATCTCAGGGTTGTGAGTTCATGCCCCATGTTGTGTGTAGAGATTACTTAAAAATAAAATCTTAAAAAAAAAAAAGATAACCTGAAAAGATGGATTTTCTTGGTATGAAACCTGATTTTTTAAAAAGATTTTATTTATTAATGAGAGAGAGACAGCATGAGGAGAGAGGTCAGCAAGAGAAGCAGACTCCCTGCTGAGCAGGGAGCCTGATGTGGGACTTGATCCTGGGACTCCAGGATCATGACCTGAGCCAAAGGCAGTCCCTTAACCAACTGAGCCACCCAGGCGCCCTGAAATCTGATTTTTAAATATGGGTTCAATTTAGAAAATGCTCTATGGGCCCTTAAAAGATAGGTGCAAAGGTAGCTTGTGACTTCTACAAGCATGTCTCATTTATTCCTTAGCACACTTAGATGAGAGGGACGCCTAGTTCTTGTTCTGAGAGGGAAACTGGGTCAGAGAGGCCGAATCACTTGCCAAAAAGTCACACAGGAAGGAAGGGGTCTGTTTCTGTAAGTTGTGCACCCTTTCTATTTATAGTGTACTGCTTCTCATCCTCTTAAGGTCTGATTGATGCATCCCACTTCTTTGTTCTCTAACAAGGTTCCCCTCAGCTTCAGGCCCTTCCTTCAGGTGTAGCTTCTGTCAGCCCACATTCTTCATTTGGCCCCATCTTCTCACTGGCCTTGTTTTCTGCTCCCACTCCTCCTTTGTGGTGCCGATGGAGCCTGTGCATGAGCCCTGTGCAGGTCCTCCTTGTACTTTCTTCCCATGAGTTTCTCTGCTCTCCCTGTACCTCAGTGATCAGACTTGGCTATGAAAAGCAGTCTATTTCTTATTGGTTCCTGATAAGCAGCTGGTATGTGTCGTCAGATAGTTTCCTAAAGTTAGCTGGGAATGGCAGAAAAATCCCCTTTCTTGGAGATTTTGGCATTTCTGCTCCTGAGGCCTGCATGTCATGTGTGTTTCTCTAGTCTTAGGTTAAGAGGGTCTGGGTTAGAGCCCAAGAGGACCAACACAGGGTATACCTATATCTGTAATCGGAGGGTTACAGGTTTGATCTCTTTAAAATACTTGTAAATCCCAACAACTTTCCATTACGTCCACACTACTACCTCATTTCGAGCTGTATTATTGTAATAGCTACCAAACTGTTTTCCTTGCACCCGCCCTTGTCCTCCTATAGGCTGCTCCCCCACACAGTATTTACAACAGTCTTTCATTTATTTTATTTTATTTTTAAAATTATGTTCAATTAGCAACATATAGTACATGATTAGTTTTTGATGTAGTGTTCAATGATTCATTAGTTGCATATAAAACCCAGTGCTCCTTACCACATGTGCCCTCGTTAATACCCATTAGAACAGTCTTTAAAAAATATATAAATGTAGGGGCACCTGGGTGTTGCAGTTGATTAAGCATTGGACTCTTGGTTTCAGCTCAGATGGTGATCTCATGGTTGTGGGAGCAAGCCCCAAGTCAGGCTCCATGCTCAGCAGATAGTCTGCTTGAGATTCTCTCTCTCCCTCCGCCCCTGAGCCCCCACCCCCACCCCAGCTCGTGCTCTCTCTCTGGAATAAAGAAATAAATTTTAAAATGTATATATAAATGTGATCATGTTGCATCTCTGTTCAAATTCCTCCAATAGCTTCCCTCTCAGAGTCAAAGTCCAAGTCCTTATAATGGCCTACATAGGTGCTAAGGATCTGGACCTCTGGTGCTTCCCTAGTTCATCTCCCACTAGTCACCACCTCTCATTTCTCTTCAGCCACACTGGCCCCTTGCTATTCCTTGAACATATGGAGCATGTTCTTGCCTCAGGGCCTTTGCATATGCCATTCCTTGTGCTTTGGATAGTCTTCTCCCAGTTATTCTGCTAGCCCTTCTCCAACATCTCCTTCAGATATATGCTTGAAAGTTATCTTCTTTTTTTTTTTTTTAAGATTTTATTTATTTATTTGACAGACAGAGGCACAGCTAGAGAGGGAACACAAGCAGGGGAAGTGGGAGAGGGAGAAACAGGCTTCCTGCTAAGTGGGGAACCTGATGTGGGACTCGATCCCAGGACCCTGGGGTCATGACCTGAGGCAAAGGCAGACACTTAATGACTAAGCCACCCAGGTGTCCCTGAAAGTTACCTTCTTAATGAGACTTCTGTGACTCCTCTAAAATGACAGACCATGAATACCACTACTCTGCATTCCCTATTCCTTTTTTTTTGTTTTATAGGAATTATATAAGGGGATGTTAGCTCAATGACAATAAAGATTTGTATCTGTTTTGTTTATTACTTACTGTATTTCTAGTGCCTGGAACTATGCCTGGTATTTAGAAATCTTATGTCTGCTGACTAAATGAATGAATGAATTTCTGTCCCCAGACTGGCCATGTCAGACTGCTTGTGACTGTGTCCTCCCTGAAATGTCCCAGTGTTTGCTGTCTAAGGTCTAGTGTTCTCATCACTTAGGTGTCCAGTGAAAACAATCAGACTCTCAACAAATTAATAGAATTGTCCTAAAATTAATTTTGAAAAATAAGCAGCTGAGATTGACAAGAAGTATTCTGAAATATAAGAGCTATGGGAAGAGGAGGTCTAGGCCTTAGAAATTATTATTGAAGTATAAAATAAGATGAAAGAGATAATAAAATAGTCAACAACTAGTATAAAAATAGAAATATCATTTAGTGCAAAAGAATGCAGAGCCTAGAAATATACCTTGAGTATACATAAGGACTTAATTTATTACTAAATGGCATTTTTCAAAATGAATAAAAGATAATTTAATGAATGGGGTTGGGATAACAAGGTGGCGACTTGGGAAAAAAATGTTAAAATTCACAACTCACAGCATAAAATGAATCAAAGGTCAGATGGCCTAAAAAGCTGACTATTCAAAAAATCAAAAAATACTTTCATTAGTTTAGTTTTTCTAAGAATTGACAAAATCTTTTTGTTCAGGGCTCTTTATCACATCACTTGTGTAATTGTTATTCAAAATAAATTCTCACGGATGCCTGGGTGGCTCATTGGGTTAAGCGGCTGCCTTTGGCTCAGGTCATGATCCCAGGGTCCTGGGATCAAGCCCTGCATCGGGCTCCCTGCTCAACGGGGAACCTGCTTCTCCCTCTCCCTCTGCCTGATGCTCTGCCTCCTTGTGCAAGCGTGTGCTCTGTCTCCCTCCCTCTCTCTCTCAAATAAATAAATGAAATCTTTAAAAAATTTTTTCCTAAAAGCTTTGATTCCTTTTGCTTCTTTCTTGTAAGAGTGTATTATGAAAAGAAATACCAATAATTAAAGGACAGCACCTATAGTGCTGGGGGAAAATTTGGACAATAAAGTCAGAAATCTTGGGTTGGAATACAGATCTATCACTTATCAGCTGTAACCTTGAGCAAATGTTTGAGTTATCTAATGCCATATAACCAACTTCCCCAAAAGGCAGTGGCTTTAAACAGCAGCAACATTTATTTTGTTATTTACCTATAGTTGGGTCATGGCTCAGCAGGGACAGCTCATCTGTGTCCACTTGGGTTCAGATGCAGTGACTCAAAAGCGGGGGGCAGGAATCACCTGAAGTCTCAGTCACTCAGATGTCTGATCCCTGGGCTGGGGAGACATCTCTCTGTGTTTCTAGTATAGTCTTTCCGCATGGTCTCTCCAGAGTGGTGGCTTTTGGGTAGCCCGGCTTTGTATATAGTTGTTGGCTCAGGGCTCTCAAGGCATGTGTCCCAAAAGGGAGAGAGCCAGGTGGACTCTGTATTGCCTTTTCTCACCTTGGAAGTCACTTGACATCACTGCTGCCACATTCTGTTAGAAGATGAGTCACTCATGTCAGCCTATATTCAGGGAGAGGGGAATTCACCTTTGGTGGGAGGATTGTCATAGAATTGTGGACACGTTTTAAAACCATCATAAATAATTTAATCTCTCTAAATTTAATGTGATTTGGGGCAAGTTGCATTATCTTAGAGTTATTACTGTTCATGTTTGTAAAATAGGTGTGATAATTCATTGGTTATAGAGGATTTGATGAAAAAGTATTGTAGAATTTCTTGGAATATTGCTTAGTATATAAACAAGTGATCACAAATTGTTAATTCTTTTTCCCTATCCTTCTTCCTTCTTCTAACTTATGGAATTCCGGTTAACTATCAGTTAGTATCTTTCTTTCCATAATTACAAAAATATGAGAAAGGACTCTCTTATTCATTTTTGTTCAAGTGAGACATACAACAAAGAAGAAGAGGCAGTGTAGTTGTCAACTAGGACATAGGCACATGGAAGGACAGATGAGTGACGTGGTACACATGTACATTGGGTGGATGGAATGTGTTGTGGAAAGCTGGATGGCCTGCATGGAGATCTCGGTGGGCTGGCTCCTAGGTATCTCTTGTGACTTGTGTGCTTTTCCCTTGCAGTTCCTGAGGGAAGACCTCAATTACCATGACCCGACAGTGAAACACAGCACCTTCCATGGTGAGGATAAGCTCATCAGTGTGGAGGACCTGTGGAAAGCATGGAAGTCTTCAGAAGGTAATAGGCAGCTTGGTTGTTAGTCTTTGTTGCTGGAAAGGTTTAGAGAAGACAGAAGAAGATGGGCAGGGACTTGGCTTTAAAAGTATATGAGGATAAAATGCTTTGTAAGAGCAAGTTATTAAAATGGTTCTACGTAGAGTCACTGAATAAGACTGAATCTAATCCTCCGGCTGGGAGTGGGGGAAGGTGCTCCAGAGTTGGAGCTGCTCTTCATTGGAATTTTAATTGAATTCCATCGGCTTCCCACCTGCCTTCTCACCACCGACCCCACTTTCTGCTCTTCTCCAGAGATAGGGAGCTTGCTGGCTTTTTGAGGAAGCCCCTTCCTTTATAGCTCCCCACTTGGTCTCACCTTGGTCTCTGCTGAGAGTTAGATGATTCAAAGATTGGCTGGAAGTAAGATGCATTCTCCCCCTGAGTCCTCTCTTTTCCAGGTTGTTTGAAGGAAACATGTTTTCTCAGTCTCCTCCTTGTCTTGGTTTCCTACCCGTGAACACTTTTGTTATTGTCTTAGATCATAGCTCCTAGAGTTGGACACAGACCTGCAGGGCTGGTTTGACCAGCTCAGAGTTGAGCAGGACTTTGAACTTCTTAGTTCTGGAGCCTGTATGCATCTTGTCAGTGCAGCCTGATTAGCTCCTGGAGCCTTCAACCGTCATGTCGTTCTGTGGACTCCTGTTGAACTCATTAAATAAAAACTTTAGTTATTTCTTATGCAGAAAACTGTTAAGCTATGACTATTATTTTTTCCCCCCTGAAGCATTTGCTTTAGAGCTCTGAGTGAAAGAGCATATCTAATTGTGTGAAGCTTGACAGAGAAGGGAAAAACAGGGTTTTAGTCTCCTCTCCATCTTGTCTGTGGTTAGAGCGTCCTTTGATACTAACAAGATTGGAAGCAGTTTCTTCGCAGGGTCTCATAGGGAGGTCTTGAGGCTAAGGAGGGTTAAACTTAAGTGACCACCAGGGCCCCTGCTTTTGTAGGTGAGGAGCCTTTGGCTCAGATTTATAAAGTGATTGTTTGTTGTCATGTACTTAGTAGATAGCAGAGCCAGGACTTAGACCTGGACCTTCCTGTCCCTGGGTCAGTGCTTTCTATGCCATCCTGGTTGGAAGTACTGGTCTGGTGGTAGAGAAACCCAATTTTGGTAGGAAATGAGGCCGTTTCTATTTTTGTTTTAATCTTACCTAGGATTATAGAATTTTAGATCTGGAAGAGATCATGTATAATGTAGGTGGGAAACATGAGATTATCAATTTAAAAGAAGTGTAAGTTAGCTATATAGACAGCTTTCTGGAAATCTTTAGGAGCTGAGTTCCTTGTGGGGGCTTTGTTTAATAGCTCCTGAGCAGCTTTGGCTGTGTACTGATGCAAGATCAACCAGTGAAATGATTTTTGGAATTACACCGGCACTGCCGGAAAAATCTTCTATTAGTTCTGTTTAATTTTAGTTTTCTTCTTTTTTCTGTAACTACATGAGGACATGGCGCCTGGGTTTGAAAAGTGGGTTTCATTAAGTGGGAATTTGGAACGACAGGGAAAGCATTCCTGGCTTTCTCTGTAAACTCCACAGAAGTAGCTGGTAAGGGAAAGTGACCAAGAGAGGGCAGAAACAGGGAAGAAATCATAAGACTAAAATGCAGCCAAGACAATTTTTTGGTAAGAACTTTATTCCTGGATTCAGCAACTATTTGGAACACTTCCAGATATGTTCTAAATGACAGGAAGATGAAAGACAATGGAGTGAGTTTTGAAGGGTTGGTTTCCATTACTGAGGAGCAGAGAAACATTCCAGTGTGCTGGGAGGTAGCTCATAGCTAAGCTGCAAGGTGACATGTATGTTTTAGGATCGCTCATCATGTACCATGCCTGGTATGTGCCATGCCAAGCTAAAAGGTAGAATCTTCGTGTGGACTATTCCTCGGACAGTTTGCTTCATTATTTAGAACAAGGCCCCTAATCTCTGGAGTGATGGTTTCCAGAGCCACAAAAAGCACGTGATCTTCTGGCGCTGGCACAAGCCGGTTGGCCTGAGTCCTGCTGGAGGAGATAGATATCAGCAGTGTTCATTTGTGTGCAGAACATTTGCCGACTAGTGCCAGTACCATCTACATGATTAGTGTTGTTAACATTTTCTGACTGATGGTGGGAGCCAGTGTTTTCTCAGTGTTATTTAGATTTTAACAGAAAAGCCTGGTAATTGCTACATTAGCCAGTTCTAGACTTCAGTAATAAAAACAACGAGAACTAAAAAGCAACTTTAATATTTATATAGTATTTGATATATGCTAGCCACTGTTCTGAGTGATTTGTATAGATTAACTCACTCGTTTTACACAAAAACCCTCTGAAGTAGAAATACTATGATTGCCTCCATTTACAGATGAGGAATATGAATCAAAGAGAGTGTGTAATGAAATAATGCAATATGATTCTGTCACTGAATATCCAGTCAGTGCAGACTTCACAGGTTAAGGGCATAGTCCCCAAGAGGACTGCTCTCACTTTAGCCACCAAGCAGCCATAAACTCTGGGTGTTTCCAGCCACCTGTGCTCTGACCGACTGGCTATAAATCATGGGTTCCCACTACCCCTCTGGTTTGATAAATTTGCTAAATGACTCGCAGAACTCAGGAAAGTGCTGTATTTATGATTACAATTTTATTATAATGGATAAGAGTTAGGGCCAACGCCAACCAAACGAGGAGAACAGTAGGGCGAGGCTGGGAGGGTCCTGAATTTGGAGCTTCTGTCTCTTCCCCTGGCTTCAGGACCTATCGCCCTCCCAGCACGTTAAGCACGAATGTGTTTGCCGAACAGAAAGCTCATCTGAGCCTCAGTGTTCAGAGCTTTTATGGAGGCCCTATTACATATACATGATTGATTGCATCACTGGCTCCCTGAAGGGCCTCAGTCTGCACCCCTTTTTCCTTTCTGAAGTTTGGGCTACTATCTCCTACCCCAAAGCCCCAATCCACTAGTCACCTCATTGGTCTTCCTGGTTGCTGACCCCCCCCCCTTGCAGAGTCATCTCATTAGCTCAAACTCAGGTGTGATCCAAGGGCGGCACCGTGAATAACGGAGGGATTCTTATCACCACGGAAATTGACGTGAAGACAAAGACCACCAAATTCTTTGTTACACAAAATTAAGTAAGAAAGAGCTGAACAAACTGGGCTGGGGAAGGATCAAGAGCAAGGGTAACTCCAAGGGTCCCAGTAGCAGGAGCTAAGGGATTGGCCTTTTCTAATTGGCTACTTTTAGATGTCTCTGCTTCATTCATTTGTCTTCTAAGTATTTTTGCTCAATGGTCAGATGTGGCGGAGGGAGAATCAGATTGGAAAAGTCTGGATGACAGACTGATGTGGGGTAGTGGTAGTGAAAGAATATGTATGGGCTGGGAAGGGGTGCGGCAATTTCCAATCCCTCTAAGACCCTGTGGAGAGGCGGGTGGGGGGAGGTGGCAGTTCTTTAAAGGAAGGGAGGTCAGATAGATTTTGTAGAATCTTTGAGAAACCGAATTATTGTTTGCGTATTTGAGCCAGTAGAACCAGTAACAGTGCCATTAGAGGGATGGTGGGAGGCACTGACCTAAGAAGATTCTCCTCTAAAACACAGTTTCCATTCCTCTAAACAAAGTGCATCATTACTATTTTTTCTCCCCTTTCCTGGACATGAGATTTCAAAAGATGCTATCAGCCAAACAAAGTAATAATTTCTTTCCCCATTTGTGTGGATCAAAGATGTCTCAAACTATCAACTTTGATTCTAACTAAATAATATGATTCCAGTGAAAAGCAAAAGAACCCAGTATTCTAGTGTGACTTTGAACTTTGCCTTTAGAAAATATTTCTTTTCTACTGGGAATAATTTGGAAATAATTCCAAATAGTAATTTGGAAATAATGACATAAACTCAACAGATCTCCAGTTCTGTCTGTACTATTCTTTGTAGGATGGGATTTTTCATAGGAGGCACCTGGAACAGTACTGGTAAACCAGGAGGCTTTTAGAGAGAAACCCAGCAGAGCTGGCCTTTCTGTGTTGACATACCAAGGCGGGGTAGCAGGTGGCATCGGACTTCTGTCTGAACTATTTCAGAAGTCAGATCAGTATAAAAGAGTAGGCATCCCCTTTTTGTTTTTACATAAACCCAGGGAGAAGGTGTTTATCCTGTGGTTTTAGCTACATAAAAATTACTTTGCTAAGAGAACCTTTAAGTCATTGAGTTAAATACCTCAGCCATCGTTGCTGCATTTTTGGGGTGGAAGATACAATTGACTTTTCTTTCTCTTGGATTCTTTTATTTTTTTTTAATTTTTAATTTTTTAATTTATTTGACAGAGATCACAAGTAGGCAGAGAGGCAGGCAGAGAGAGAGAGGGGAAGCAGGCTCCTCGCTGAGCAGAGAGCCCTATGTGGGGCTTGATCCCAGGACCCTGGGATCAGGTCAGTTCAGGACCTGAACTGAAGACAGAGGCTTTAACCATGAGCCACCCAGGCGCCCCATCTCTTGGATTCTTTTAGATACTTTTTTTCCAATAACAAAAAACCCCCCACTAGCATCAAAGCGGTGATTTGACACTGCAGTCATTTTCGGTTTATATTAAATAGCTACCTGAAGTTCTTTCTTGTCTCCACATTTAATAACGGAAACTGAGCATCTCTCACCTATTTCTGTCACCAAGTCCCAAGGATTCTGCCTCTCTTCTATATTTTATGTGCATCTCCTATGATGCTGCCTTAGCTCAACTTCATCTTTTTGAAAGATTTATTCAGTTATAATTGATAATACAATCAGGGTAAATATTGAAAGTGTCTGCAATTTTTTTTCAGTTTTGACACATGTATGCAAATGGATATCCTTTATGAGACAGACGTTTTGCAAAGATTTTTCTCCCAGCCTGTGGCTTATCTTTCTGTTGAAGAATGGTAAATTTTGGGGCGCCTGGGTGGCTCAGTGGGTTAAAGCCTCTGCCTTCAGCTCAGGTCATGATCCC